GTAACCACTAAGCTACCAGAGCTCCTGATAGTTTACTATACCAAGAATGAAAAACTGAATAAGAATGGCATCACATTCATTGTCAGAAAGAGCGTTTCAATATTGATCTTGAAATACAGTGCTGTCTCTGATAGGCTATCCATATGCCTACAAGGAAGATCAGTTATGCCACTATTATTCAAATTTATGCACCCACCATTAAAGTCAGTGATGATGAATTGCAGAATTCTGTCAATTTATTCCATTTGAAATTGATCAAACATGCAATTAAAATACAGTGATAGCTACTGGTGATTTAAGGTGACAGTTGTGAACAAAAAGGAAGGATCAGTAGTTGGAAAACATGGCCCTCGTGATAGAATTTTGCAAGACCAGTGACTTATTCATTGCAAACTTCCTTTCTCAATAGTATAAATGGTGACTTACACTTGCCCCTCACTAGAATCAAACTTACTGTATCTGTGTGGAGAAATGATGGAGAAGGTCAATATCATCAGTCAAACAAGGCCAGGGGCAGACTATGGGACAGAATACCAATTGTTCACAGGCCAGCTCAGGCTGAAGCTGAAGAAAATTAAAACAAGTCAATGAGAGTCAAACTATGACCTTGAGTATACTCCACCTGAATTCAGAGATCATCTCAAGAATAGATTTGATACATTAGACATAACGACTGAAGACCAGAAGAGTTGTGGGATGACATCAAGAACATCATCCATGAAGAAAGCAAAAGATAATTAAAAAGATAGGAAAGAAAGAAAAGACAAAAGTGAATGTCAGAAGAGACTCTGAAACTTGCTTCTGAATGTAGAGTAGCTAAAGCAACTGGAAGAAGTGAGGAAGTAAAGAAACTGAACAGAAAATTTCAGTTTGAGAAGAAAATGTAAAGTGTTATATAATGGAATGTCAAAAGACTTGGAGTGAGAAAAGCAAAAGGGAAGACCATGCTCAGCATTTCTCAAGCTGAGACAACTGAAATAAAAATCAAGCTTTAACTTGCAATGTTAAAGGATTCCATGGGCAGAATACTGAAAGATGCTGGAAGCAATAAAGAAAGATGGAAGCAAAATAGTTGCCATATCAAAATGAATTGGTCAATGTTCAATCATTTAAAGAGGCAGCATATGATCAAGAACCGATGGCATTAAAAGAAGAAGTTCAAGCCGTACTGAAGGCACTGAGGACAAACAAGGCTTCAGGAATCGATGGAATACAATTTGATGGAATACAAATTAAAGTGTTTCAACAAACTGATGTAACCCTGAAGGCTCTCAGTTGCCTATTCCAACAGGTTGAAAGAGATCCACATTTGTGCCCTTTCCAAAGAAAGGTGACCCAATTCAGAAATCATTCAAAAATATCATGAATATCATAGGTAAGTAAAATTCTGCAGAAGATAATTACAAAAAGGAAGCTACCAGAAATTGAAGCTGAATTCAGAAAAGAACACACAATGAAGTATATCATTGCTAATGTCAGATGGATCTTGCTGAAAGAAGAGAATTCCAGAAAAATGTTTTCTCGTACTTTATTACCTATGCAAAGGCTGTGTGGATCATAATAAATGACAAATGACATTGCAAACAATGAATATTCCAGAACACTTAATTGTGCTCATGTACACACACCAAGAGACAGTAATTAGAATAGGACAAGGAAACATTGAATGGTTTAAAATCAGGAAAGATGTGCCACAGGGCTGTGTCTTTACCTGTACTGATTCAATCTGTATGCCAAACAAATAATCTAAGCAGCTGGAGTACATGATGAAGAGCATGGCATCAGGATTGAGGGAAGACTCATTAACAACCTGCAATACGCAGATGCCACAATTTTGCTTGCTGGAAGGGAAGAGAATTTGAAATAGTTAAAGAGATCAAACACGTTAGCTTTTGGTATAGATTGCAACTCAATGTAGGGCAAAGAAATTCTCACAACTGAACCAATAAATAATATCATGATAAATGGAGAAAAGACTGAAGTTGTCAAATACTTCATTTTGCTAGGATCTGCAATCAACACTCTGGGAAGCAGCAGTCAAGAAATCAAATGCTGAATTGCATTAGGCAAATGCACTGCACAAGGCTTTCTTAAAATGTTCGAGAGCAAAGATGTCAGTCTGAGGACTGAGCTGCACCTAATCCAAGTCATGATATTTTCAACTGTCTTCATGTGAAAACTAACCAAGGAATGAGGAAAACCATAGGAGGATGGATGCATATGAATTATAGTGTTGGAGAAGCATGTTGAAAGTACTGTGGACTGCCAGAAAAACAAACAGTTCTGTGTTTGAAGAAGTACAACCCTACTGTTCCTTAGAAGCCAGGATGGTGAGAGTTCTTCCTTCATAGTTTGGACATGTTATCAGGAGGGACCAGTCCCTGGAGAAGGATATCATGCTTGGTAAAGTGGAGGGTTGACGAAAGGAGGAAGTCCCCAAAGAGATGGAGTGATACAGTGTCAGCAACCGTGGACTCCAACATTAACAACTGTGTGGACGGCATAGGATTGGGCATGCTTTGTTTTGTTGTGTTGGAACTGACTGGACAGCACCTAATAATAACAAGAACAAACTATTATTTCAAAATTTATTTGCTGTTGGTATTGTTGTTGTTGTTAAGTGCCATTGAGTCAATTCTGACTCATAGTGACCCTGTATAGAGTTTCTGAGGAGTGGTTGATGGGCTTGAACCCCTTGAGGCTCGAACCACCAATGTTGAGGCTCAAACTGACCTTACAGTCCAGTGC